AATGTTTTTTAAGTCTGGCAATGAAAGTATTTAAAAGTTAATTTGCAATTCAATGCAGAATTGTACATTTTTAGTGATATCGTACCGGTTCGTTTTCGTATCTAAGTAAACCAAGGTCACTTTTTGCTGCGATGAACGAGCGATTGGATGACATTAAGGCCGGTAAATTTGTTTTTTTTTTATGCAACTTCGAATGGTAAAGGAACCGACGACTAACTTGGTGGAAAGTAGTAACCATCATTTATGGCCATGAATAGCACCATAGGACTAAGGTACTATACGTAACCTATAGTTTCACTCTCTTGTATGTCTGTAATAGATAAACTGAAAAATACTCAACCGATTTAAAAAAAAAATAGACAACTATATTAATAGTGAGTTATCTTACTCACTATTAATATAGTAGTCTATCTTGACTACGTATTATTTTCGAAAATTCTATCTACCCGTGCAAAGCCGGACCGAGTCGCTAGTCTTACATAAAATAATGTTTGTTCTTGACAGTAAGAAAAACATAAAATAATCAGTCAAACCATTTACTTAATTGATATTTAATGTTGCTATCGCATAGTAATAATTAAACTATATGGCAACATTAAAATGTCACTTATAATAATAAGACGTCTCTATCTATGACCTAACCTTATTATAGAAGAAAGTAATGACCGTTTATTGTTGCAATATATTTTATTTATTACATGTATATGTATTAGGGTTGCCACACATTCTTTATAATATAATACAGTACATTTATTTCCAGCAATTAAACTATATACATATTAAAGACAATAATAAAGTGTGGGTAAGTATCTCTTGTAGCTACGCGTATTTAAGAATCTTGAAACTTCGAAACTTTTTCATTACGTACCTTCATTAACCCTCTGACCGGACATCCCGCGATTCCGCGTGCAGTATCTATTAGTTTAATTTTACGCATCCCGCAATTTCGACGTGCTCGCATTTTTTATGTTTATTGACGTTGTTATCCCGCGATTTTTGTTTTGATAGACTGATATTGTTTCTCAGAGTCTCGCTAGATGGCTAAATAGTCGTACTGTTATTTGTTGTCAAAGCGATGTGCAAAAATGAAGCGGAAAAAAATACGCGGTCAGCGGGTTAAGGGAGAGGATCTGAGTCCCCGCTCCACCTCTTAAAAAATAATGTTAAATACACCAGTAATCCTGTAAGGTTTATTTTACGAAAAAAAAACACAAATGCATTTTTTAGAACACGAAAACCGCTAACTACCTATTTTCTCACAGAATGATTTGAATTTCTTCCAGCTAATCTTTCAGAGACAAGTTCACCCTTCGCTCATAATATTTATATCTGTTTTATTTATGTAATTTACAAGTGCAAAATATGTAAAAATCTGTTAACATTCTATATTCAAATGAACGACATAATAAGACCAAAAACTTTATCATAATTTTCGCATAACGGACAGCGAATCTAATGTACAAGTAGAAAGTGGCAACCCTAATGTCTAAGTATGAAATAATAAATCGACGCTAAAATTACAAACGGTTTGAAATTATCCGCAGCATGGGGAATTTCCCACATGGCAACGTTACTAGTTATGTTCCATGTGATCTAATATGCCAGATGCGTTAGTGCTATATGAATACACACTTATAATGATCTTCAGTACACATACCAACAGCAGAATGGACAGTCATTAAAATTCATAATTGTCATGACAATGATTCAAAACTAATCCTTACTAATAATAGGGAGGAAGGGATTGTTAGTAATGCGGACTGCCAGTCTCATTGCTAGCAATGTACCCTGTCAGGTCGAAATCACGTGGTCCCCCTTGGAAACCACAGTGCTAAATTCCAGGTGCATTTATCACGATGGGCTAACTGATCTGCCTTTTCATTCTCACCTATCATCCCGCACTGGTGCCCCACCAGCGTATACAAATAGCGCAGGCGGGGTTACCATTCCATTATCAATCATTAAAAAAATCCTTACTAATATTTAGTACTAGCGGCCCGTCCCGGCGTCGCACGGGAGGACATTTTTACATTTTAAAAAGTGGCCATTAAGGCTGCACACGCGACGGAAGCTTAAAAATGGAGTAACTTCTCCCGTTTTCCAAACATTTCCCTTCAGTGCTTTGCTCCTATTGATTATAGCGTGATGAAAAGTATACTATAACCTGCCCAGAAGTATTAAGAATAATTGTACCAAGTTTCGTTAAAATCCTTCGAATAGTTTTTGTTTCTATAACGAACATACAGACTGACAGACAAAAAATTTACTAATTGCATTTTTGGCATCAGTATCGATCACTAATCACCGCCTGATAGTTATTTTGGAAATATATTTCATGTACAGAATTGACCTCTCTACAGATTTATTATAAGTATAGAAGATATAGATTAACTAGCCAGCCTCACGTGACGCGAAAGAAGTCATATGTAAAAGCTTAGCTATTATTATTATTAATAGATAATCTATACATATAATAAAACTGCAGAGGTCGAATGTCTATACAATGAAAAAACAAAAGCTAAAAACCGAATCAGGGGGATGTTAGAAGTGAAACAGAACACATCCAGACTTTTTTCGCAAAGTCGCGGGCTTCACCTAGTTTTAATTAAAAGGATAAATACGTTTGTTCGTTGACGCATCAAGTTCTTAGTATCAACTATAAATATCATACATTTTAAACACGTGTTGTTGATACATATCTACACTTATAATAAATCTGTAGAGAGGTCAATTCTGTACATGAAATATATTTCCAAACTAACTATCAAGGAGTGATTAGTGATCGATACTGATGCCAAAAATGCAATTAGTAAAATTTTTGTCTGTCTGTCTGTGTGTTATAGAAACGAAAACTACTCGACGGATTTTAACGTAATTTAGTACAATTATTCTTCATACTCCTGGACAGGTTATAGTATACTTTTCATCACGCTACGATCAATAGGAGCAGAGCAATGAAGGGAAATGTTAAAAATGTCCACCTGTGCGACGCCGGGATGGGCCGCTAGTTTTAGACTAATTAAGACGATGAAAAATTGCAGTTAAATGGTACCTTTTATTATTTAGCTACGTGTAGGTGTCGTAAGAGGTGACTAAGTGAGAGCGAGGGATGGGCAGCAGCGTCTCTCTTAAAACATCTCCAAAGCCTAACTGCGGTTGTCAACCCGTCTGCCAAGCGTGGCAACTACTGGCAAAACTCCCCAAGGGAGAGGCTTATGTTAAGCAGTGGACAGTTAAAGGCTGACATGATAATGATTTCTTTAACTGATAGTATTTTATTTTAAAATAGTTTTTTTTTTGATGGGTGAAAATGGTATGGTAACCCCGCCTGTGCTAACGAGATACGCTGGCGGTACACCAATTAAGGGTAATAGATGAGAATGAAAACAGGCCAGTTAGTCCATCATGATGGATTCATCAGGAATTAACCATGATAGTTTCCAGGGAGAACCGCGAGGCGGTCGACCTGGTTGGGTATATTGCTAGCAATGGGATTCTCAGTCTCCATTACTAACAATCCTCCCCCCCCCCCCCCCAACAATTTAAAATAGTTTTGTGAACAAAATAATGCAAATATGAAAGCTGAATGTTATAAAAATATAATGTACACTTAATGACCCAGCAAAACTAGGTTTGTGCATTTTATCTCGTTCCACATAGTTGCTTCATGTAAGATATTAAACAGAAATGTTATTTAATAAACGCTAAGCGCATTCTAAGAATTGATATGAATGGTTTTTTTTTATCATTAACACCAGTTACTGATAAAAGAAGTCATTCATGTATATATAAGTGCATGGTGTTCCTCGTTTTATAGTGTTTTTTTTTTTTATGGGTGAAAATGAAATAGTAACCCCGCCTGCGCTAACGGTATACGCTGGCTGGGCTGGCTGGAAGATGATAGGCGAGAATGAATGCAGGTCAGTTGGTCCACCATGATGAATTTGACAAGAACTAATCATGATGGTTTCCAGGGGAACCGCGTGGAGGTCGACCTGAGAGCATATATTGCTAGCAATGGGGCTATTTGACCACATTACCCCCCGCCTCCCGTTTTATATTGTTGTATTTTTAACCAACTTCAAAACGAAAGAGATTCTCAATTCGGTTAGTTTTTTTTTTTTATTTTTGTTACCCCATAACTCCGTCAGGTCTAAACCGATTTGGATTTTTTTTTTATCTGTAAGGATATACCATACATACAGATTGGTCCCATAAAATATGTATAAAAATGAGTTTTTTTTCTCTTAAATCTAAATAATTGATTTTGCCCAAATTGGAGTCGGTTTTTCTTTTTTGGGGAACACAATCCTTATTTCTATTTAACATGGAATGACAAACAAATTGACGATCTGCTTGATGAAAAATAATAACCGTCACCTATAAACATGCAGTATAATTAGCACAACAAAACACACTGTTATATTTTTTTCCTAAAGAAGGTAGTCTTCAATTTAGCGTAGCAATGGAGCCTCTAGTACCATTACTAACAATCCGTCCCCCCCCCCCGCGCCGAAAAAAGGGTTTTTTAATAGATGATAATAGAATGGTAACCCGGCCTACGCTAACGGTATACACTGACGGGGCATCAGTGTGGGATGATAGATGAGGATGAAAAGGCAGATCAGTTAGCCCACCGTGATAAATACACCTGGAATTTAGCACGATGGTTTCCAGGGGGGACCACGTGGAGGTCGACCTGACAGGGTGTATTGCTAGCAATGGGACGGATAGTCCACATTACTAACAATCCTTTTCCCCTCCCCCGAAAAATAAGGGACCACACGGCGAACATTACCCTAATATGTATCTGTGGAGGGAAAAGGAATTGTTAGTAATGGGGATTAGCAAGCCTGTAACTAGCAATACACCGGATCGCCGGATTGAACCTGCAACCTTCGGAAGGTGAGACTGTATGTTTAACCACCACACCACCACGCCGTCATAAAAAAATATAAATAAAAAATAGTAATGAAATTACTACAATAATAATTACATACCTCTCTGTTCTTCTCTGTAGCGACCTTCGGTGTGAACAGGAGCTGGTTGATGAAGCCCAGGAACATGAGTATATAAAGGCCTATGTGTGTTAGAGCCGCTGTCAACAGTGTGGACTTCTCGAATGATCCGGCGAATGTTTCATGCTGCGTCCAATCTATTGGTGGCAATCCGTCGCTTTTTGCAAATTTCTAAAAATAAAAAATATAACTATATATTTATGTCTATAATACTCAAAGGTCTTCGTCGTTCTTCGATGCCGTTATGACAATTTTTTGAAAATGGAACGGTCACTCCGCCTGCATTATCGGTATACACTGGCGGGGTACCAGTAAGAAGTGATAGGTGAGGACGAAAGCAGGTTAGTTGGTCCATCGTGATTAATTCAAGAAGGTGCACGATAGTTTCCAAGAAGAAGCGCATGGAGGTCGACCTAATAAGATATATTACAATCAATAGAGTTGTTGGACCTCATTATTACGATCCTTTTTCACAACAGTTGATGGGATCCAATATGGCGGGGGAAAGCCTATCGCCGCTTTGTTCGTTTCCATCACTGAAATTTCTTTTAAGGATGAGGATAGAATGATGATGTATGTCAAGTATGATGGAGTAAGAGATGAAGTAATGTGATTTTAACGTCCAATTTTATCAAGTGTTACGTTTGGCTCAGAAATTTTGGAAAATATTTCATGGTAGGTTCTCTGATTACTGAACATTATTTATTTTAATATGAAGGGTTTGTCATAGTAACGGCAGTATCTAGTTTTTGCTTATCGAGCTTTTCTTACACTTTTGTTGTTATTGTTCTCCAACTGGTGTGAATTTACTGGGTACAGAGGAATAACACCTGAGTCCTCAGGAATGGCAACGCATGGGGGGTATCATGGGCGAAACAGTATGTGTGTGTACTGTTATGTCCATGATACTGCTCATGTCTATAGGCGACAGTTACCACTTTCCATCAAGTGTGTCGTCACTTGTTTGCCATTCTAAGATGTATAAATAAAAACTGACTTAAAAAAAGGGAGGCGATTGTAAATTACAATGTATTTTTAATATTATTTCAGAGCTCTTTTATTTATAAACCGATTAGGTAAGTATGTTGTTTTTTATCAGAAAGGGATATACTTTCATATAAAAAAAATCCATAGATAATGCATAAAAATCGCTTCAGTAGTTTGGTTTTTAAATAAAAATGACTGGTTTTGCCAATATGAAGTTTTACAAAATCATAGGGATGAAAGTGTGGGTGTGAGTTTGTTATGAACAACTACATTTTTTTTTTCAATGATAATGGAATGGTTACCCCGTCCACGCCAACGGAATAAGCCAGCAAGGCACCAGTGACAGATGATAGGTGAGAATGAACAGGCAGGTCAGTTAGCCCATCGTGATGAATACATCTGGAATTCAGCACTATGGTTTCCAGGGGGGACCACGTGGAGATCGACCTGATAGGGTGTAATGCTAACAATGGGACTGGTAGTCCACATTACTAACAAACCCTTTTCCCCGTACTACATAGTATTTAGAATTTTGGTCTACAAGAAAGAATTATAACGTAACAAAATGATTAACTTCAGGCTGCAGCTGAAAATCAGTGCTTTGCTTTTAAGCAAAACCATCACTGAGCTGTAGCCTATTTGGGTCACTGCGACACACATGGCGAAACCATATTTTATCTTTTGTTGTATATTTTGAAAAGTGTAATTTGATTGTATAAACTCATTTGTAAATTTACGTGTGTCATAAATGGCTCAAATAAAAAGTTTATCTATTATGTGTAGTATATTTATTTATTTATGTATAGTACGAGGTCTGTCCGGAAAGTTCGTATAAAAGTGTTCTGGAATGCGAGAAAGAGGAGTGGGGAGGCCAGGTAAGCGCAGGACCCCTTCCTTATGTCCCTAACAATGCTTCAGTTCTGGTCTGACCGCCGTGCGGTGCGAACTGGCTTGTCACGCCATCTGTGAAGTTACCTCTTAACGAAACCCCGTCGGCATGGAGCCCGCTTCCGTTGAAGAGCAGCGCGTCGTAATCAAGTTTCTCTCGAAACTCGGCAAGAATGGCCGTGAAATTTTTGCCGATCTCAGAACAGTTTATGGGGATGATGCTGTGAAGGAACCAACCGTCCACAAGTGGCTAAAAAGATTCAGAGAGGGCCGAGAAAGCGTTCAAGATGACCCACGTTCAGGACGTCCTTCCACTTCACATTCCGACGAAAACGTGGAAAGAATTCGAACTTGTGTTAATGGGGACCGTCGTTTAACGGTCAGACAGGTGGCTGAAGAGCTTAATTTGGGCAAAACCGTGGTCCACGAAATTCTAAGAAACGAACTTCAAATGAAAAAAATTTGCGCCAAGATCGTTCCCAAGCTTTTGTCCCCGGATCAAAAATCACGAAGAGTTGCTTGCTGTGAGGACTGTTGTTGGCCCCGTGTGACTTCTTCTTGTTCCCAAAAACCAAATTGGTACTTCGGGGGCGGCATTTGGGGGACATAAATGAGATAAAAAAAGCTACGACGGGGCAGCTGAGAAACCTACAACCAGAGGACTTTCAAGGAGCCTTCTCACAGTGGAAACGGCGTTGGCACAAGTGCATTATGTCACAGGGGGAGTACTTTGAAGGGGATAAAATTGATTTACCTGAATAATTGTAAAATAAAATTTTTAAAAAACTTTTATACGTACTTTCCGGACAAACCTCGTATAGTAAACCTTATTGATTGCAAATAGGATTGTCATCATCATCAATCAATCGATCAATCAGAATCAATCTAAAATTAGTAAAGATATAGTGTAACACACAAAAAAAAAAAACAAGCATATTGAAAACCAATTCCTAAATAAACAATAAGCATATCTGTATCCAGATAGATATGGATTTCTTAATCTATGCTAGATATAAATGTTCTATTTATCATATGTGTATTATATCAATCTACATATATACCATAATCTCTCTATCTTTTATTTACCTATCAATCTTAATACATGCCAGTGGGTAGAATCTCATAAAAACGAAGCATGTTATATATAATAATTAAGAGTTACTCTAAGAATGTTTTCAATTATATATTTTTGTCTTTAGTTGGAATATATATTTTGAAATTAAAAACATATTTTTATAAATTAATAACATTAAGACAAAAAAAATATATATATAATCTTATATTCTTAATAAATTCTTATATCTTAATAGTGAAAATACCAAATTACTGAACTAATTTATATAAAATTTCCATGGGACCAATCAAAAAGTATATTCTTTCAGTTAAAGATATAATTTTTAAAATAGATATGTAAATGATGAAATTATGAGGTAACAAATATAAAAAAAAACAACCAAATTGAGAATAATAAATTTACAGAATGATTGAATATATTTTCAAGGAAGTAGGGCTTGAAACTATTTTATAAATAATTTATTAAACACTTATTCATATTTACAAGTTTACATGAAAATGAGGAAAATCAGGTAACATAATGGACAACTTAATAACATGGATATAGTAAAACTATTCAGTGGATACTATGTTTCAACTGTACATTCATTTTTAATAATCCTAACTTTAATGAATTTAGTTTATAATTTACTAACTTTCACTCATGACTTTGTCCATGTGGAATATGTTTACTGACTGGGATACAATATAGCCTATATCCTTTTCCATCCCATGTAGTTTAAGTAAACAAAATTCATAGTGATTAGTTAAATAAACAAATTAACTTTCATATAATATTGGTTAGGATAAAGGTTGCCAGTTTGCTTTAACAGTATGCTAAAACTTTTATTTTTTTATCCTGTTTGATACAATATTAATAAATACTCTGGTTGGTGCAGTATTAGTCCTTAATATATTTAATAGTTGTAGTTTTACTTTAAAATAGATGTACAATAATAAGATTTTCAACATAACAATAAGACAGTCTTGTAGTAGTCAAGTGTAGTGTCACACAGAGGGTGTCTCAACTGAGCGATTAATATCCAATTTGCAGGGTAGTATGGTGACCGTTCCGTTATAATAATTTACACGGCCTACCCACTAGGTCCGCCCTTGTCTAGGCATGTATTAGTGTTAACAATCCCTATTGTTTTATGTAAAATAAACAGACAAATAAGTTGATGGGTCACCTAATGGATAGTGGACAATGATGTCTTTAGACATGAACAGCACATCACAGGGAGGAAAGGGACTGTTAGTAATGAAGTCTAATTTCCCCATAACTAGCAATACACCCTCTTAAGTCAACCTCCATGCAGTTCCTCCTGGAAACTATCATGATTAATTCTCATGGAATTCGTTACGATTGGTTAACGGACTTGCTTTCATCAACACCTATCACCCGCTAGTGGTGCCCCGCCAGCACACACCAATAGCGCAGGCAACTTTACCATTTTATTATCACCCATAAAAAAAGCAGCATATCACAATGTATACTGTGACTCATTTGGAACTCATGTGCTACCTTTTCTAAGAGACTTGCAAGCTCGATTTATATACATATTTATATGTAGAATAACGAAAAGGCAAATGGTTTGTATAAGTAAACATAGGTAAAGCCATTGTTTATAGAAAAAAAATCTTATACATATAAAATCAATAAAATAATATATTTTTATATGGATTTAAAATACTTAAATTTATTGTAAATATATTTAATTACTAAATTAAATCTAATAAAATAAATTAAAATCTACTTATTAATAATTAATATTTGTGTGAAATTTACAAATTATTGTCATGGTGCTAATAATTGAAATTGTGACCTTGAGTGATTGACGTGAGGTATTAATTTAAAATCAATCGAAGGCGCGCCAACCACATGACAAACGACAGTGGGTCACTGGGTTAGTGTGGATAAGCTTTAAAGTCGAATGAGTAGCACTAGGTCCCCATAAAAACACTTCCAAAAGCTCGAAAACAAGCTTTAACGCAAAGGGGCGTGTCATACACACCGGCAAAATTGTTTCCTATTTTTAAAAAGGAAGAGAGAAATAAAGTTACTCACGCCGGTGCCATTGTTTAGTTGTGTATTTTTCACATATCCATTTTTAAAATTGGCGGCTTTTCCATTTAATACTTTTTCTTGTTTTCCATTACATTCTTCTAATTTATTTAATTGTACCGTACTATTATTTGGTAAAGAACTACACACTGTTTCCACCGCCATCATTTTAAAGAGTGGCTAACTCTGATTTGAATTGAAGTTTCTATGATGAGGCGAGGTGAGGTGATTACTCGTGCTCAGATTTCATTCAGCAATGATAACGCTGTATGCAGTGTAATCATGTTTTCTACTAAAATAATATATAGCACTGTAATAATAGCTACAGCGCTTTTAGATACCAATTCAAGCAACTGTTTTACCGATTTAAATGTCAATGTCAATTAATGACATTAGAATAAGTCAAAGATTACGGAATTCCTTGTTCTTAGGAATAAGTCTAATAGAATGACATAGTGTTGCCATTTATAAAAAGATGCAATTTGTTGGGATTAGACAAGACATACATTTTATACTTACCTTGTTCTTATATTTTATGAATGGCAATTACTTTAATAAACAAACAGAATAGTATTTAACCTTTTAACCTGAAGACAATTGCTGATAAAATGGACTGTCCCATCCTAAAATATTGGGTGGGACAGGTTATCAATGTAAGAGCGTTATCACCGCTCATTTACTAACATAGGTTAAGTCAATTTGTAACTAACAAAATGGGCCTTGTAGTCTAATTAAATAAATATTATTATTATTATTATTTTAAATTCACTACTTAAATAGATTATTTTGTGCAATCTTCTGTTTTAAATTTATGCTTTAACGTTTAATGATTCAATGCCATAATAATTTTATCTGTAATTTGTATATAAATAATAATTGAATTTTGTAAAACTAATATTATAATGTAACTTAAATTCTTAAGTTTATATTCTTAGTATTGAGTCATTGCACATGTGACAGATGATATTTTAGTGCTCCGTATATTTGTCTGTTCTTTTCCTTAATTTAATGTTTTGTCACTGGCATACTACACAGAAAAAGAAAGAAGAGAACAAGGCTGTATATTAGTTATTCTTTTGTTCCATTTAAAACGATAGGTTATTGACTAAAAACAGCTGTCAAAAGCGTTGTCGGTAAAGCAGTTTTACGTATCTTTGTTGAAAAGTCAATAAATTACATTTTACTTTTTCTTGTCTTAGTATATTCTTCCCGTAAGTGTATCATACACAAATCGCTTCCTTAAAATTAATTGTCACCAGTATATGTGGCCAAGCTAATAATTTATTTAGTACGAAATAATTCTTCTAACTCTTCAACTTTCAAATACCGGCGGAAGGCGCCGCCCCCGCTGCATTGCATCGTTCGGAGTCGGAGGGGTCGGCAATGAGTAATACCGTTTCTCGTGCTGAGTGACGTCGTGCAGCGATTGCCGGTGAACGGCTTGCATCAGTCTGATACAGCGAAGAGACACGAGAGGACCCGCCCTCTATATTGCACCCTCGCGCTTCCCCGCACCCTATTGATCTTTATTGCTAGTCTGTTCTATATTTTACGTAGTTGAATAAATTTAATATGGATAGCGCCGACGCTCTCCTTGGTGGTCTCGCGAGCGGTGATAAGGGGCCGTTGTCTGAAAGCACATCGGTCGCGGAACATGCGTTAAAGCGCGACCAGGACTCGACGGATGACTTCGAGCACCTGGACCGCGAGAGCAAGCAGGAGGCCGGTGAGTCACCGCTGCATCATCACCGCGCGGCTACTCAGAATTTTCTCGACATGGAACGCGAGGATCTATTCGTGGACACGCCGCGGGCACCCTCCGCTGCCGAAAAGCTTTCTGAGCACCTCGCAGACAAGTTTACTGACAGTGAATCGGACGCCGATACTACTGGCGAGTCGCCATTTCATCGTCCGGCGCCACAACCCGCCAGTGCAGTGCCCAAAGCTCCTACGCCTGAACCAGCGCCGGCCGTGGTGAAGGATCCCACTCCTGTGCTCGCACCAACGCCGGCCCCGGCACCCGTACCGATCGTAAAACCCTCGGAGCCGCCACTGGAAATTCCCCCCGAACCAAAACCGGTTCCGGTTCCCGAGCCGAAGCAGGAGGTTCCCAAGCCGGAGCCGACACCGCCACCCAAGCAGGAGCCGGTGCCGCAGCCCAAACCGGCCGCACAGCCTAAATCGCCTCCAGAACCCAAACCAGAGCCAACCCGAGCGCCCACTGCGCACGTCATCGAGGCCGAAGTTATTTTCTGCCAGATGGGACTTGGTAAGCATTTTCTTATTTTATTTCATAAAACATAATCATCAATGAACCTATTAGAAAACAAGTACTGCGTCCTTCGATCTCTCCCTGGTCAAAAATTACTTAATATTACAATATACCCTGGGTCCATTCCAAACAAAGCCTACCTATCATTGCGCTAATATTTTCTTCGTTTGGTTTACAAAAATAATATACCAATATCCATTAGGTGAACTCTGATATATCTATACGACATTAACTTGATGATAATAATGATAATTATCATCATTCTGTTGTTAATTATATGAAAGTAACTGCGTAACTTAGGTACGTCATACGTCATGTCCCTTTTATACCTCTATCACGTAGGTAGTAGTTACAATTATAGTATAATAAGTATGTATTCTGGAAGTATATATGGATAATTTATTATTCACGACGCAGTTATTCATAGATGCCTACTTATTCTGTATTTGTACCGGCATGATTTCATCGATCAATTCGGAAGTGCCACCATCACTCGCAGACATGACTGTGTTATGCCGCGCGGCATTTTTTGTGCACCAATTTTCGTACTCATTTCAAGGCGACTCAACACTGAATGCTTTCGACCGTGAAAAATCATGTCTACAGGTGAATTAAACTTCGTGATTTACAAAAGAACAAATGTAATTATAACGAAATCTTTTGCAAATGCTAAGCAATAAGGAAATAAATATGCAATACTATGATACTTATACCTTGATCAATAAACACAGCTTGTGTTTTTCAGACGTTACAAATTATTGTCTTGTAAATTGCTGAATTGAACGGGGTTAGCTGTGCAGGCGATGTCGGGGCCCGGTGGGGGGTGTAGGAGGAGGTTGGCAAGAGGTGGCGGAGCGGCAAGAGCGTTGACCGCGATGCAGCGACCGGGTAACGGAACCCACTGAAACCCACGCCTCTCACTGCACGCGGAAAGAAAGGATGTCCGACCAATGCGACACAGAACTGTGTAGTCGACCCGTGACGCATCCAAAACAATAGCCCAACACAATACCTGGCTATAAAATAATACATCTAGACTAGATTTCATATTGTCACACTTGCACAGCTTATGATAGATCTTCATTAGAAGATCATGATATAGATTGTTTAAATAGCCTCTACTGATTTTATAGATTCAGTTAAACCTACTTAGGTTTAAAGCCTATAGATGAATATGCAAATTAAATGCTAACAAAGGCAGTCTGGTACGCATATATTATATGACCTTAGTATGTATCGCGCGATAGCGTCGCACGACACCACGTAAAATGAAAGCATTTCCATCTATAAAATGACTCATAGATACGATAATCATTAATAACGATAATTTTACACTATGATCTAATCTCTACAGCGTTGCGTAACGCGAAATGAGTATTATCACTATAGAGAGAATTGCACTGATATGGTCAACCTTTATATAAAAAATGCAATGTTATCATCATTTGACGTGCACTAGAACACTGGATACACATAAAACTGAATCATCTTATCAGTGACATCAGAGCAAAGAGTGGAATAATCCTCTTGTATACAATAGAAAACATTTCAGAGTTAGATTTTTCTATACGTAACCCAAATTGTTTCACGTAGTGGTCAAGTTTGATTTCTGGAATCCAGAAATCCAGAATCTGGACCAACAATTTGATATGCAGGATCCAAGATCTAGTTATCGATTGGCATGGTCTTTATTGTAACTATATATCGAACATGGTTATCAGCGCGTTGCCTATCGTCTCGACGACCGCGCGGTATGTGCAGCACGACGCCACCATAGCTAATTTTAGAAGCAGTTCTGAAGCACCGCTCACACAACCAAAGATTCCTCGGTGCTGAGTTCACGTCAACCGCTCGAACGCTCCTCAAGCAGTGATTTAAGTTCTGATGTAGCCTTGTGTGAGTCGTGAAGTGAATCATAGTTTCAAGGACCATTGCTTTATTGTGTGGAAATAATTGTGTAAAAACATGGGATCCGATGCTAATGCTGTCACGAGTAAGTACTATATGCGGTTTTTTGGGATGTGGTTTTTTCGTGGGATTTGGGAATTGCGAACGTAATGCTATAAGCTTTATAAATAGGTAAAATGTTATTGGATACGGAAGTGGTTATGAATAAACAATTTCTAGTTTACGTTTATAAATCCTACTGCTCTAGGTATAATAAATATTTAATTAATCCGACATCCGCTGCAGTAGTTTAAAAATTGCCACAGGATGTGTACCTATATCTAGTTTATTTCTTATGTCATTTCTATTTGGGTTAGATATATTTCTTTAAACAAATTACAAATGAATTTTGTATCTATTCTTTATATATTTTTTCGTGGCCTCTGAAATCTTGATTTCATATCGATCTACGCTTCGAACATTGCATTGCATTGCGTTGTATTATTTTTATTCCCAAATGATCTGTTCGACCGACTCGACCTCAGAACAAGGCTTGTTGTCGCAAATGCAATAAACTAAATACCTGTATATTGTGTACTGTAGATACGTAAGTAAATAGTACAACTCATTCTAAACATTATAATTTATATTATTATATTAAGCGACCTAAAAAGAAGATATTCTCAATTCTAGACTCATTTAGATAATTATTTTTTAATTGATAGGGTTTTCATCTTGCTCGCATTTGAAGTAGTTGTTCTTTTTTGCGAAGCAAGACCTTGAATTATTTAGTTTAATTTGCTTTGACTAAACTTGGTGATGTCGTTTCTGTTGAAAGCAAAATAAAATTTGTGGTTATTCGTTATTTTTGAAACATAAAAATAGTAATATTTAGATCGTCTCTAATTATGTAGATACTCTCCTCCTGTTCTCCTATAATACTACGCATTTCAGATTTTATAAAGTGACTACGCACTTGTTGTTTCCCTTGACCTAAATCGAGACCCTTTGTAAAAACGTACGCACCCTTTGTGTCAAGTGTTTGCTCAGTGCTACGTCATTTTATTCGTCGGTTCGTCACCCTCACCGCACTTTGTTCTTACGAATCATGACAATGTTGCAAATTGAACAATGTTGCAGGGTGACTTCTGGCGTAATCGAATTTGGATCAATTCGGAATCATATCGAATAAACTTCAATGGACGTTCGTTACCTTACGTTGCATTTGATCTATTTTTATTTACCTCGTTGATTTCCCATTTTCTCATTCAACACGTAAGAAATTTTTCCTTATAAAATATAATCTAGTTTTAGAAAAATATGATCAAAATTGTAAATATTTTGTCTGAATGTTCTTTTCAGAGAATATAAGAAAAGTATCGGAGAGTCAATTTTGGAAGTCTATACATACTCGTATATGGCAAGTCAAAGCGTCTAATTAGAATCTTAGCCTCTCTATGGCCAAATAAAAAATAAACTTTCCATCGATCGACCTACTTTACCCTACATATGCTTGTCTTTCTCAATTTTTAGAAAATTGAATTTCCATTATTAATTTTCAATCTAACCTTCGAGTGGCGCAAAATATTCCCATACAAGTCTGCAACACATATAAATATTTAAAAACGACGTAAAACCCTTGTCCTTCGAATAGTGTTAAATAAAGTAAGGAAAGTCCTTTACATATTATATATTAAATTGGTATTTGCTGATCATATAGTACATATCACTGTATTAAAATATAACAATGACTAGATTTTTTTAATGTTGATCTGACTTTTGAAGAATTCTGTTACATTTCGAATCGACTTTGTAAAACTTCGAATAAAAATTGGGATAGCTTGCACTCGATCTCATTCCAAATTGTCTAAAGTTAATCATAATTAATCTTCAATAATTGTATTAACTAAATGTAAGAAGACTTCCGAATGAAGCCGAAACAATTGTTAGAAATGACAAACACTAAGATCATAAAATTCCCGTTATGCATAAATATATATACACTTCGTTAAAAATGAATTTAAGTTTTAAATATGAAAATATTTAAATGTACTTTATGTTTGCATTTAAGTTCAAAACTGCAGCTCATATATACGAGTAGGTATATATCATCTAATTAGCTGATAGTACCTTCTAATTTACCATAAGTAGAGATGGGCAATCCACCTGGGTGGGTTTAAAGTCTGGTGGGTAAAAACCGGGTGTTTTGGGTTTATTGGGTTTAAACCCCATAAACACCCAAATTTTTGGGTGTTTATGATTTTGTACTTCATCATCGTCATCTCAGCCGCAAGACGTCCACTATACTGGACATAGACAATATTATTATGCAGCCTACAGAATAAAAAACTTTTAATTTGATTTTGAGTTTATTAAGAAAGAGATGAAAGTAAAATGTAAAACTACAGTCAATCACTGTCAGATTCAGAGTTATTACAAGCGATGAATTGTATAGGTTCGATAGGCTCTATTTCGTCTAAACTGTTATGTTCATTTACTTGCTCAATGAAAGCTTCTAAGGTATTTTCTTCATTAAACTGAATGTCCTCGCATTCAGCTTTATGTTTAAGATTCCAGTTATAACAAATGAATGAAATTTTTTCAGTTCTTTCAGTTGTAAGTCGATTTCTTTTGTTATTATGTATGTAGCCTTGGATACTAAAGGAACGCTCAGTGGCTGCCGAAGTACAGGGAGCTGATAGAATACGAATCGCTACTTTGCTTAACTCAGTGGAACCACAAATACCTTTCCACCATATTAGGGGCTCAATGCTATCTAATGAGCTCCATACAAATCCTCTGGCCCAAAAGTTTTCTTTAGCTTTATAACACGCCAAATCTGCCATTACATTTGACAAACTTAAGTGTTGGCTTAAATTGTAGATAAACTCCATACCCTTAAGTTCTTCCTCTTGAGTAAGTTCGACTCCTAGAGTCCTGGGGTCTAGAATATATGCTGCAAAATGTATTGGCCTCATTGCCATATTGCATCTTGAAGATACTGATGTTAGAATCTGCTGTTTGCTTTCTTCGCTCAATGTCGAAATCTCATTTAATGCAAAACGTATCTTAGCTTGTACATCTCTAAATGTAATGTATGTGCGATGCAAACGATTCTGGTCGCTCTCTAAGTAAAATATGCTTTCAGTGACTGGTTCCAAAATACTTATACATTCCCCTGTCTTCGTCCAGAAATCATCACTTAGAATTAAATCTTTAATATCTCTTGAAATTACCACATCTTCTCTAACTGTTAATATTTGCAAAGCTATCTTATTTGCTTTCAAACTTTTTAACGAAGTAACATGACTTCCCCATCTTGTAGCACAAGGCAATTTTAGTGTTTGTGTAGAATCTTCACCCTGCCTTGATTTTATCAACAAGGAACTTAATCGTTGACTCCTTTTAAGTTTTTATTATATTTATGGCTTGCATAATAAACACAGTTACTTCTTGTATCTTTACAATATCTTGGCACAACAAGTTAAGGATATGTGCACAGCAACCGAGAGGAACAACATGTGGATATTTGAGTTTTGTTAATTCGAATGCCTTTTGTATATTTCTAGCGTTATCGCCAATAAGTACAAGAAACTTATTTGCTCCATACACTTTCATTACTTTTTCAACTTCTTGGCTAAGGTATTCACTAGTGTGAGGATTACTTTCTGTATTCAAACTTTTAACGTATGCAGGTTGAGGTTTTGATATAAGAAAGTTTATTATTCCTTCATTTCTTAAATTAGACCAGCCATCGCACTGAAGGTGTAAGTAACTACAAGCATTTAGTTCCTCATTTAACTCAAAACGCATTTCTCTATATATTTTATCTAAGTATTTTGTCGCTAAAGCTTTACGTGAAGGTATTTTAAATTTTGGTTGCAATTTTTCGAAAAATTGTATCCATAAAGGATGTTGCACCATCGATAATGGCGTCCCTGTTACAAATATAGCTCTCGCTAATTCTGTTTTTATATGATCATCGGTGTCTTGAAACTCAGCATTTATTGTAGTGTTAGCAGACGACGAGGGGCTTATAAAAGAATCATTTGTCTCTATCTCTGACAGTCCAGACATTTTGGTTTTGGACGAGCTATCTTTTATAAGTTTCATAGAGTCTTTTAATGTTTCTGGAGATTTTGGACAAGTGATAAGATGTTGAAGCATTTTGGCAGCATTACTGAATTTGTAGACCTTATTACAAAGCTTGCAAGAAACAGACTTGTTTGGTAAAGTACGGTAGTGCTCCCATATGCGTAAATCTTTAGGTCTCCCCATTGAACCTAAAAAAATGAACGATGATTAGTTGGTCTGACGAAAATTCAACAATAGAGTGCCTATTTTTTTACAATGATTATTTCTTGTTATTTACAATAAATTTATTAAAAAAATAATAAAATAAATACAAAAAACCTTTGTAAAATTACATCTCCTCGGAGGATTAAACGCAGACGCTAGTTTATTATCGTATTGTTCTGTATTTTTCTCAGCAACTTCTTTAATTCGATTAGGTACTTACGCATATTATGTTAAAAATAAATATCTAGTACACATCTTAGGCTATCCACCATTATTATCCAATGACGACTCTCAGCTAACTATGCACTATCATCCAAAATAAACGTGTATGGAAAATTTTATCCCAGTCGGTTGAGGATTGAGGATAATTGCATCAACATACGAACATACCTACATACTTTTATTTACATAACGCAAGCTAAATAAAAGCTTGTAATAATACATCTAATTTTAAGTTAAAATTGTTAAGTGATCATGATATAATTGTATCATTCAAAAATCCACTTACCTTTAATTATTTCTTGTTAAGTATAAATATTATTTCAAATCTGCTCCCTTAATATGCACTTTTTTACTGCTTTTCCTACCTAACACGTTACCAGGAAGTCACGTTACCAGAGTCAGAGTAATAGTGAACACGTTTGACAGTGATTGTCGTCGCCTCATATTCAGCGTCGACGAATAGGGGAATCCCCAGTCATAATGTATTGCATGCGTGGCGGTCTTACTTCAAATCCATAAACAAAGAGATAATTACAGAACTCGATACTAGATGGCGCTGTTTTTGTTTGAAGAAAGTTTGCGGGCTAAAATACATAGAATTTCATCAATGACTTCCACAAAGAACAACATTTCTGTTTTTTCTAAGTCCGTATCTCTTCCGTATATTTCATAAGATATAAGCTTGGGCTACATTGTTATGCAACGTGATTTTGTCGCTGTCTTGCTAGCAGGGTTGACAGATATACGATTTAAATCGTACTCATACTATTATTTGTCTATTTTTTAATGTACGATCGTAAAGATTATGATCGTAATTCGCACAAAAACATACGACTTTTTGGTTACCTGGCAACATTTTTATTATGAAACGAACATGCTCACATCATCAGTCACATGCAACAATTTATTGGGGATTTCCCCTTCACATCTGGCAGTCCTGCTTGCTAGAATATAGGTAAGTCAGCCACAGTTACTGACGATCGATATTTAAAGGGTATTGTTTTTGTGCTAAATATTTCATAAAAACGTTATTTAATACTTTGTGGATTATTAATTTAGTTGATAATCACTGGAAGTAAAATGGATGCTAATTTGAGAGATCAAGATCTTCGTATAAAACAGTTAATAAAAGAAAATCTACGTAAGTACTCTTTTTATACCTAGGTAGGTAAGGTATAATAAACACAAAAGGTACTTAGATCGCGTGTGTTCGAAGCATTTATTCTAATAAATTTAATTTAAAATTGTAGAAAGAAAAAAATGTCTGCCAAGCCGTAGCCGAAGCCGATCTCCAAATATATTTGGCGATAGTGAGACCCAGTGTCCAGATGATTTACCCAGCGTCGTCGCAACAAAGAAAAAAACGAGGATAAAGTAAAAGAAAATTTACTGAAAGAAGAAACAAACTGTTCTAAATGCTTAATTTATGGAGAAGAGGATAAAAGAAATGAGTATTTCGGACTGTTAGTGGCTCAAGAATTTAAATATATACGGCCATGTGTGCGAACGAGGTGTTATGAAGAAATTTTAAAGTATCTACGGGAAGCAAAAGGCCAACATGTTGATCAACTGCAACATGAAAACACTGAAAATTAATTACTTTCATTTTATTATATATAGATTTTTAAAATTTCCTGAAATATTATTAGTTAACGTTTTATTTAATATTGTAGAATTGATCAATACAATTTATAAAAATAATTTATTGGTATTACTCACATATTTTCAAAAAAATACGTAAAAACCTATTTTTTTGGGTGATTATGGGAGTTTATGGGTGTTTATTGGGTTTTTACCAAAGCACCGGGTTTAAACCCGGTGCTTTGCCCATCTGTAACCATAAGTCATTATTGCTCACAGTTTTTATAAGGCGTTTTGATATAATTTACTTTATGATTACTACTTCTTAATTATTATACATTCATAACTTAATTAACACTGCACGATATCACGTCATAAATAACATATTGGAAAGAAAGTTAAAAGAACAAGAGGAAGACCAAAGAATAACTATATGGGACAAATAAAGGACAGGCTAAATGTCGTATTGTATAGCGTATAATATGGTTTAGGATAGAGCCGAATGGAGAAGAATACACGAATTAAATACCGCTACAAGAGGATATACTTAAAATTAATCACAAGACTTAAGTTACTCTTAAACTTCTAAAATTCTAATGACAACCAATGCCATACCCGAACCTGTATCTGTCATATTAAACACAAAGTTTTCAATTTTTTTTATGTCCAAATGTTAAGAATCAATTTCAAGAGCTATTCTTTGCTCAGTCTTATTCTACGTATTTTCTGGAATTTGCGGAAAAACCCCAGACATACAAACGTAATAAAGGCTAGGGCTCTGCGAGGGGCGGAGGGGGAACAGACAGGATCGATACTGGCTGCCGCCCGCCGCACACGTACGTTCATGGTATAGGGATATTGCTTACTTTATCACTTAGAATACTTTATAAACCTTTCGCTATCCCTACTTTTGTATTGGGTTTATACCATACTATAATGACTAATTAACTCCCCATAACTGAGTACGAATGTCTTTTAATAGGAGGATAATATAAGCCTACTGTTACCATTCCCGGTTAGGTGGTTTTGTGTAGTATTTTATTTGAAAATGTTTTTCTCTTGCATTGTGCTTTATTCACCTTTTATAATATCGAGAGTATAAAGGGAGTAGTGCTACTGTTTTACTTCGTCATCATATGGAATGCCAAACTGAAAATAGGTTTATTAATATTCCATATACACTGATACTCGAAGGCAAGAAAGGAATTGGAGATATTGCATCACAAATAGATGACAGCAACATTACTACCAGTACATAACTGTAGTATTGTATTAATTAAAGTTAATGAAAAAAGTAATTGGGAATTATCGTAGAAACATTATCTAAATGAAATTAGTAATAAATCGAGACATTCAATCAGTTACCTGATTTTTTATATTTACTACTATTGGACAATTGGATATCAGCAGACTGTCTTATGACCATGTAAATAGTCTAGTCAATGATTCGTTTATTCACAGTTTCGTTAAGTTCTGTTGAAACAAATGTTACTGAGCCTGATCTTTAAGAAGCTGAAAGAATCCCCTGCTATTGATTATAGAAAATACTTTGGATGTTTCGTATTAAGATTCTAAATAAATGTTTACAATTTATTTTCAATTGACTTTTCAACTAGATACCATGATGAGTTGTGAAAATTTGATAATATGTTTACGATTCGATGAAGCCTATTTTAAGAATTTTCGCGAAACTGTCAACTCAACAACAACATTTATATTAGAATCAAAATAATGAGTCATTATTTGCTAATGCTTTTATGTAACTTCAAAGTGACCATGACTCTGGGCCCCCAGAAGAGGCGCACACAAACTGTTAGACTGCTACTAATTGCGCGTCACACTCCCACACTAATATCGTAGTAAGTTGATCATCAGTTAATGCGTAGCCATTATCAACCACACATTTAATTACTAGTCTGGTTGAATAGCTATAACAAGGGTAAGGAATATTTTATACTATACATTGTACAGTTTAAAATATTCCTGTACAATGACTCATGGGAAAACCCTCTTATATTAACCTTAGTTGTATAGGGGATCGATTAATACTGTATTGCACACGCTTTGCGCTTTCAAGTTCAAAAGGAGTTCAAAATAAGAACATGAGAGCTTTGTGGGTTTACTAACCCTCGGAAAGGCCTTGATTACTAAGTTCCAGTCTGGCTGGCATCAAAAGTTTAATGTCAATTAAAATTACCGAGCAACTGTCAAACCTAATAAAGTTAATCCGAGAGGAAACCTACTACCTACACCGGATTCTTGCTACTTTTTATTCCAATATGATCAGAGAATTGTGGCTTATATTGGGCGCGCTTTTGGAAATATCTCTCCTGATATTTGTAAAGCTACTTACTTACTATTAATATTTGTGATATTTGTAATACTTAATATTACAGAATAAAGAAAATCCTAAAGAATGCCCAAAAGAGTAACGGGAAACTTTCACTAGGCTGCAGTGATTTGTATGACTTCTAGGAACAGCACCATTGTAACGTCCGATGTTCAACTATACTAATATTATAAAAAGGAAAGTTTAATTGTTTGTTTGTATTGGATAAACTCAAAAACTACTGAACCCATTTTAAAAATTCTTTCACCCATAGAAAGCTACATTACCAGCGAGTAACATACTAATATGCTATATATTATTTACGAAAATTGTATTTACCCGTGCGAATCCGAGTCATATTGAAAGAAAGAAAGTAATTGTTAGTAATGTACTCACTCAATTGACTATAAAAATTCTTTCACCTATAGAAACTTACAATAGCAGCGAATAACAAAGGTTTTTGAAAATTCTATTTATGGGGCCTGATCGCTAGTGCTTTATAATTCTTGAAGATAAAAGTGTTGAGCTCTGTACCCTGAAATTACACAGTTATATATCATACTCCAGACCGAAATAGCAAGCGTGACGGTAGAAATTCGAGTGAGACAAAGGTGCAGACATCTTTTTTATCTGTTTATGGCTGGAGCAGTGACACTGCAGGTGCGTCGAGCGTGATGTGTGGTGACGTCAGTGCGTACTAGACTTGCGTCTCTCTCGAGTATTATTTATATCTGAGGCATCGACTTCGTGGCGTATAGCATGCCGGTCTCTTTCAATTATATTTTTGCATTACAGTATTTATTTATTAATGTATCTATATCTCCAGAACAAACATAACAATAAAAAATAAAATGGATTACATTTAACAAAACACTTCACAGCATACCAATGAGAATTCTGAGATCGATCTCATAATTTCCACTACTACTGCTCTCATCTCGTTAAACATTAATCGAATTATTTCATCTGTTGCTGTTAAACAGATATATAGACATAAACTGTAATGTTTATACGTTATATTCTAACTATATATATTTTTATTTGCTCTTAAATCTATGTCAGGCGTTTTGGAGTTTGGGCCTTTTGTATCTTTTTTTACTGATAGTGTAAAGTATGTAAAACATTCTATTTTGATGTAATAACAATCGAATTAACTTACGTGTATTTTAGTCAAAAAAGCTGGTCTAGTTTCGGTACCATCAGGGGCCCTTAGTCATGAGCATCTGTGACGCGAGCGCACTAACTGCACTGTTATTATTTGCGTTTATTAAAATAAACATTTATAAAACTTTTAACAGTTAAATGTAAAAAAGAATTGATGCAGTCGACTTGCCTCCATATTTCATCGAACATATCAAATATTTTTATCTAGTATCTTAGTTTCATATATATTTTTATATATTACATATGACGAGAATATTGTATTATGTGACAAAAAAGAAATACAATTAAATGTATGTACGCAATTCTTTACAAATATATAAGTATACTATAATAAGTCAAGATTGTTCATCAAGTAATAAAAATAAGTACGAGTACCCTTTAATCCCCTAAAAAAGTGGTTCAGATGGTCAGACAAACAATTAGACGAACTGAGAACCTCGTATCTTTTGGAAATAGCTTAAGAACAGATAGACAGATTTTAGGAAACTACGGAATGTCTACGATGGGATTTTAAATTGAGGGTCATGGTTCCATTTCGCTACATCTAGATAGACACTAGTTTTTTTTAATGGGTAACAATGAAATTATAAGCCCACCTTCGCTACCGGTATATGCTGACTAGGCACCAATCAGAGATGAATGAAGAATGAGGATAACAGCAAATAAGTTGGCCCATCGTGACGAATTCAAAAAAAAATTAACCATTTTGGTTTACAAGTGCAACCGCGTGGTGGTTGATCTAATAAGATATATTACTAGCAATAGGTTCTTAAATCCCATTACTAACAATCCCTTTATCCCGATAGCTACTAGGTACCTATCACTACCTTTAACATTGTGTTAATCTATAAAAACCTCGTGTTATGGCTTCCTCTTAATGTCATACTACCGCGAAGGACATTTATAGCTCCCATTTATAATTATGATTATCGTAAACCATGTGATCAATAACTAATGGCTAGAGTAACCCATAGATTATTGAACAAACCATAAACAATTTAAATTATCAGTAAATAGGTAGATAATGTTTTAGAACGACGTAACAAATGACTTTGAAGCATCTAAGTTTGAAATATAATAAACAATCGGAACTAATATGTAATTTTTTTTATATTATCACAATCATCATCATCATCGTCATCATTATATCAGTCTTTAACTGTCCACTGCTACTCCTTGAGGGGTTCTGTCAGTAGTTTCCACGCTTGGCAGGCGAAATGGCAACCATAGTTAGGCTTTGAAGATGTTTTAAGAGGGACGCTGTTGCCCATCCCTCGACCATTAAGTTAATTACATGAATTCCTCTTTGGTAAATGTGATATTGATAAATTACGCTTTTAAAACGGTAATAAGATTTTATCATTACTTTTAATCTATAATCTTTTTATTACTCACTTGTTGATGACAACGGTTTCGGCTTTGAAGATATTACTGCTGAAATTTTCTTGATTTTTTTTCTTTATACAACTATAACTGGCAAACGAGCATTCGGCCCGTCTGTGTGTCGACATCTCTGACACCAGGGTGGCCACGCGCGCATTGTCCACCCTTAAGAAACCCTAATACGCTCTTTTTAAAGAACCCCATACTGTAATCTCTAGAGAAAGCCTAGAAGAAGACATGTACCTATTACATTCACAAATTTGTTTCCGAACACAATTATTATTTTATTAAAAAAAAAGTAATCTAACTTTTTATTAAGATAGAATTGGCATGGAGAAAGATTTGTTTCGGATTTAATGAGAAACTTTACAATTGGCTTACTGAAAACTGTTTTTTACTCTTTTAAAGATTATTTTAAAGTAAAATTTTAAGGACAAGTTCTTAATTAAATATATGCATACGGTTGAATATAGAGATTCTGTTTTTAATATTAAATACTTCTAATGTAATCTGTATTTGAGCAAATACCAGATCTACAAGAGGGAGACTTTGTACTAAAGTGGTTTCCTAAGCACCTCTGTCGCATTCGTGTTTCTAACGTGAAGTAGCTATGTTTGCATGGTTGTGTTTCGGTTTGAAGGGTGGGATATGGCAGTGAATTTACAGGGTACAGAAAATTAACACCTGAGTCCTTAGGAATGGCAATACATGGGGGGTATTATGGACGAAACAGTATACTCTGTTATGTCCATAGTATTGCTCATGCCTATAGGCGACGGTTGCCACTTTCCTTCAGATGGGCCGTCAGCTTATTTGCCATTCAAAGTTACATAAAAAAAGTTATTTATTTATTCCAGATACAATATTATGAATTATCTTTCAGTTTACATTCTGGTTTCATATATGGATTTAGATATATTTTTTCAACCACCATCTATCTATATATAAAAAGGCAGTTTCTATCGTTACAAAATCAGGCCAACACCGTATCCATAAACTATCGTGGATAATTTCTGATGAACTCGTTATGATGGGCCAACTGACCTGTCTTTTTATCCTTATTGTCACTCGCTGTTGTCCCATCAGCGTAAACCGGTAGTAAAGGCGGAGTTACATTATCATCCCATAATAAAAGTGCACCATATTCCGTATCTACCTATTCCAAAACAAATTTTCCAAAAAAAAAAAAAAACAAAAACGCTACTTTTCAAAGATTTTTTATTGTCAAGGAAGCAAACGTGCAGTCGGATCACCTGATGGAAAGCGGCTACCGTCGCCTATGAACATGAAAGAGGTTGCTTGTACATTGCTGAACTTTTAAATGTTTGTAGGCACATTTTTTGAAAGTCCCATATTGTATTGTACGGGAAAAATTTTAATTTAAATTACTAATTACGCATTATTCCAAAAATTCCTTATGAAAGACGATACACAATGTAACTATCTAAACAGATCTAACGGATCTAAAGTCTCTCTTAAACAATAGGTAATACAACAAAAGATATATATTAGGAACAAAGGATGTGAAAGATGCAGTAAAAAAACTAATCAATCAACTATCTTGACATCGTTATAACACAAACGGAACATTGTGACTACATTGAGCATTTTTTTTATGTATTGAAGAGGTTATATTTGGCTAGTTGAAACCGGTTTCGACCAGTTATTTTTTTACTCAAAGTACTGTACAAATCTACAAACATGGGTAATTTAATAGTGCTGCACAATGCAAACATTTTTATTCATGACTTATATGTGTATTTGTTTGGTCTGGGCATTTTAATTTTATTAATGTTTTTGTAAAAAAAGTGTTTAAATACGTCTATTACTTGTCTAGTCTACTATGGATAGATGTTCTGTTTTGTTTAGTCATAAGAGAAGTATATAATCGAGTTCTATTTATACTTTTGAGTTAGGATTATATATTATGTATGTTCAGGGCGATTTATTTATTTACTTCGTTCTTTTTTTTATTCCAAATTCAAAATATATATGACTATGTATTATCTTTATTTGATCTTCAAATTCCTTTCGTTTTTTCTTTGTTTCTTATTTTCGTTGTGATTTTTGCATAATTGGACCAACTGCTTACATAGCGTTTCACTTTCGACTGCATTTATTAACGCACCATGTGCCCACCCAAGCGCGCTGTGCAATACTGCAATGTATTGTTTATACAGGAGTATCTCCCTTAGTCTGATTGAACTCAACCTCCGATATTGAGGCATAGGCATATCTATTCTGCGATACAATGACCTGCGACCCGATCATTTATCCTGGCTAATAAAACTGTAGATTGATGTTGAATGCCTACACATACGTTCTTTTAAATATGCCATTGTTCTTGCATTTTGCTACTATCTATTAAATGTAAAATTGATTATCACCATTCTTATTATAATAATTGCAAAACTAACTATCTTAACACCAATATACAACCTTGTAACTAACTGTATCGTTGTATGATTGTCAAACTAACAGCGTATGATCTAGTTGGTTGCAATGCTATAACTATCTTGTAATATAGGCCTGGTATTGGTATCGGTAATGGGTGCAGCTTACATAGCTTATCAGACACGAGGGTGACGGAAGGTGGCTGTCTTCACGTAGTCTCAGTAGCAACAGTAGGTACCGGGCGCGCATGCGTGGGGATCGGGGGCGCGAGGGAAGGCGCGGGGCTGCGCCGTCAGTATCGACGCGAGAGTCGGGCGCGGCGCGCGCTCCGTCCGCCGCCTTTAACCACCGCACGTTCCACGTTACGTAAAGTGTCACTATGGCGGTCTCCGGGCCCTCCCTCTGCAGCGTCCTCAACCCGCGTAAGTGCCGCCTCGCGACGGCTTCGCTTCGCCTGCTTATTTCTCCCTGTCGCGACTAACCCGCTAACGCGCAGCCTTCTATTACAGATGCCTGGTTCGACCCGCAGAGGCTGCATCCAGAAGGTGAGTGGTCATCGCGCGTGGAGGGCAGAAATACGCTTAGGTCGGCGAGCCGCCAACCGGGCTGCCCGGGCGAGCGCGCGCCGCCCGCCGCCGGCCCTGCGGCCCTGCACTGTGACCCAGTGACCGCTGCATTGTAGAAAAGCGAAGTGTTTGTGTGAGCTCAGTGTTGACATCACTAGAGATGATCTTTGGCCGTTCCGAAATGCCGCAAGCCATAATGGTGGTGGCGGCGTGGTCGCGGTGCTCGGTGGAAGCACGCGACCCCCTTGCGACTTAAAACACGCTTCCACTCAATCATTTATTAATTGAATCTTTAAATCAGAACAATAATAGCTCCAAACGCCAAGTCAAGGTCTGTCATGCATGAGCGTCCCAATTGTAACACTAACACTCGCATGTGTCAATCATTACTCGCCACGGTGATTTAACAACTAACAACGATTCGGACCCGTGTACCTGATACTAGAACACAGTTATAAATACTAATACCGACAGGACAAAATATAATAAGATCACTTTTCTTTTTTGTCGATTGTTTTCCTTTGCATTTGGCAAAATATCAATTTGGGTTAGGTGTGTCGGAATGCGTATACCGCATTGCGAAACCGATTTGTTACAATAGGGCATATCCTTGTAAATCTCAAATTAATCCACGGAGACGTGTTACCCGCTTTTGGTCATTATTTGCACGTATTCATTAATTCGTTATGTTGAATCGTGAGGCTCGGTACACGCATGCGCACTGCTGCTGCTCAACTCGCAGCCATCACCTCTGCCAAGTTGAAATTAGACCGATTTTATCTGACATTGAGGTATCTGTCTCTTTTAATTTATTGTCGTCAATGTCGCAATTGTGTTATTCATAATTAAACTCAGGTGTAGATAGATATTAAATATTTATATCTTTGTGTAGGATACTACATATAGGGTTTAGTTTCTTAATTGTGCGATGCAGTCAGCATGACTCACCGCAATTTCCTAACACCTCAGTGATCCTAATTTAATTAGGGAAGTGTAGTCATGAAGTGGCTCGACTTGTGAACAAGCTATTACGATAGTTTTGCTCATTGTTTTTAGGTTCTAATTGTAGTGGAAGGTTGTTGCGCCTTGATTCCTTTTTCTAGTGGCATAGAGAAACTTAATCGGATCCTCGAGGTCGTTTAGATCTTGTAGGTATGTAAAAGTTATACTCATTGATACTATGACGTCAACTGTTGTCTTTTTTACTTGTTTTTGTTCATTCTCGTCCCTAAATGTGACAGTACCTACAGTGTGACACGCAATTCTTTACCTTTAAACATTTTCTTGTATCATCGTCTATTGTTATATGTGAACTTTGACATGCCTACACATAACGAAGTAAGAGTAACTAGAGATATGTTATTTAAATCATTTGTACAATAAATAGATGTTTACGCGATGACTTCCCTCGGTCCCCGCTTGTACTCGGTGAACACTTTACAGACGACCTGATAATGTCTATCATTTGTGATAATGTCACAATATATCTGTACTCTCTGTACCGTAGCAATGCCTAAAGTCTATCTAATACGTTTACAATAAGACTTAAAATTGAAATGCATTCAGACGTCCTTATCGATAGTTGTATCTTCCCGTGCAATTTTTACTATTCTACAAAAAACGTTACATAGATTATAATTTACTTTTACATCATTCGTGGTGCATAGTATTGTTTTTATCGTCCGTCGCCTATGACCTCAGTGGAACTTACTAGAAATTATGTTTATCTCAAGCAATTATGTCTTGATTGGTTGACTGAATGCAAGCATCCATTATCACCTATCTCACAATGAATAAATATTAATTGTGATTGATTGTGAAATTTGGTCACTTCTTTAGTTTTGTTGAAGACGTACTAAATACCTAAAATTAAGAGATTATGCGAAACTTCTTCCATCATCTATTCCTTCAATTTTTGTTTAATAGGTATTAACATGCTAAAAATATGTTCTTGCATTACTCTTAAATCCCCTTATTCATAAAAATTAAATCCTCCTATAAAACTATTTTAAATATTAGAGTATTTTGTCATTTTCTTGTTCTTCAATTTGAGAATCTAGTTTAAAAAGAATAAGTACTTTTTTTGCTCAAACAGCTTTATGGAACATTTGACGTTTTATGAATAAGGTGATAAGTCTACCATATACTCACGTCGCTAGCTCTTGGCGTATTCTCTTTATTCTTGTAATGTAATCCTTATCTTAATACAAATAATAGGTATTAAGCTACATAAATAAAATCACAAATGTGACTAGCTTAATAATCTTCCAATAGTGTAAAAATCAATTCACATCTTCATATTTCGATCCTAAAGGATACCAATATATATTTAAATATGTGGGAACCCTTTTTATCTTCAGTAATATAAACAACAAAATAGTGTGATAAATATATTTGTAAAATAATTTCTCATTTTAGCAAAAAAAAAATTACACTTAAATAGACATATTTTATAAGAGACTATGACAGATTAATTAAAAAAAAAAACAAGACATTTTCTAAAAACATGGATGTGAACACAGTTAAAACTTCAATATTAAATGATCCTTCTTGTCCTTATGAAAGTATCATTCCATTATCATTTATTTAGTTATCGGTTATTTGTTGGTTTGAAACCAAATTAATTGTAATTCATATTGTTATTGAGTCTGAGATAGTGTCAAGAGACCGAACCACTTTTATGACAGGCTGCGTTATCTTTGACACGAGAATTTCAACGTTCGAATTTATTTTGAACGAAATTGTGTAACTTATAAATACTAAATCTCGAAAGATAAAATCGTTTATACGCAATCAAAGCGGAAAATTGAAATCATTCATATATGACATAGATACGTATACCTGATATCTGGTACCCAGTAGTTGAAGGAAGAAGGCAGGTACTAAGTTAGATCTAAACCATGGTAATTAGATCTCTGAAAAAGATGTCATCAATCTCTAGAACTATCTTGCAGACATCTATAATTCTTGTCAGATCAGAAACTAAAAGAGAATTCTTCAGTCTCTAGAACTGTTTTGCAAACATCTAGAAATCTTACCACATCAAATACTGTCTAAAAAAAAAGTTGTCAGCTTCCAGAACTATATAACAGACCTCTATTAATCTCATCAGATTAAATACTGTCTAAAAGAAAAGTCATCAGTCTTCATAACCATCTTACAGACATCTTTTGAAATCAGATGCAGTAAGAATAGAAGCTTTGGCATTCGGTTCTATCTAATTAGATATACAACTCTACCATGTAATAACCGTCTAGAAATCACTTTTAAACTTTGCTCTATTGTCCATTGATATTTATATAGAACTATCATATTGTAGTATGTTTTATTTGTTACTAATTAACAATCAATTTTCTTATCATTGTATGCATTTGTAGTGTCCTGTTCTCATTTATATCATTTAAAGGTAAATAACAAATGTTATTATAATATATCATTATCGTTATTTGGTCCGTATATTTCCATTCTGTGTCCGTACATAATGGAGGAATCTATTTTGGATATGATTCATTGTTGCCAACTGTCTGGGATGGAAAGTGATGTCTCGCTTTTTAGGACAAATTCCTGTTTGTGCCTCTCACTACATTTTCGTTTCTCTACTTTTTGTTTGTCTACAAATGTTAGTTAATTTTTTTAGCATATCGTTATTATTATATCAAACGTTAATTGCCCACTGCTGAACATAGGGCTTCCCCATAAGAGGGGGTTTTGCCAGTAGTTGTCACGCTTGATAGGTAGTTTGGCATCTGCAGTTAGTCTTTGGTTTTAAGAGGGACGCTGTTACCTCCTACGACACCCATGTGAAAGAAAAGGGTGGCCTATTCTATGCTGGGACCACAGACTTATATCATATCAACCGTTAATTGACGACTGGTGAATATAAGCCTCCCCTATGAGGGAGTTTTTGCCAGAAGTTGTCACGCTTGGCAGGTGGGTTGGCAACCGCAGTTAGTCTTTGGTGATGTTTTAAGAAGAACGCTCCTGACCTCCCTTCACCATAAGCTCTCTCTCTCTCTCATAAAATACTGAACGGGTTTTCATTTATCAACAAAGTGGTTCCTGAGGAAGGTATAGATAGGTATATAATTCGTTGAGGTTTTATGTGAATTGGTTGAAATATAACGATAATTGTTGAAGATGTCGGAAAAAAACCACGCCATCTAGAAGTTTTCATAGAAAACACTGCTTAATCCGTTTAAGATATAACAAAACAATATCCATACATTGTTTTGTTAAATTATCCTGAGATTGAGAATTGAGAAATAATAATTAGAATTCTTTCTCTTTTAAAACCCTACAAAAAAGTCCACGATAGCATATGTCTATTTTTAGGAATAGCTTACTATACCCATCTAATTCATACACGATGCAACAAGTTAATGCAATATATGTAAGCATATATCATATGCTCTGCTACCAGTTCGAAGCCGTGACGGGTCGTTAAAGATGAGTATTAAGAAGAAATTTAATTTCAGACGACCAACTGTTATTACTATAAGTATGTAGGCAGATATATAAATAGAATGGTACTTTTCCAACTTTTATATTATAAATGTGAAAGCTTGTAGCAATGTCTGGATCTTTGTCGGTTAGTCAAACAAAAACGGCTGTACGGTTTTCATTTAATCTTTTGTAGACGAATGGACTATATCCCGGACTAACACATAGGCCACTTTATCTAAATTCACACGGACAAATCTGCAGGATAAAGTTGATAATTAATGATAAAATTTATCTGCTTTCATATTGAAATGAATCTTAACCTTAACTCGTTTCCTAATAACGGGAATTAGTAAATTACATTGGGTAATATAGACGGCCGTGTAGGCCCCGGCATAGAATATTTCCGTTGGGTTTCGTAAGAGGCGTCTAAGGGAACTTAATGGAAGATGGATGGGCAGCAGCGTCCCTCTTGAAATATCACCAAAAGCCAAACTGAGGTTGCCAACCTGTTTGTCAAGGGTGACATATATTGGCAA